ACAGCAAAGGCAACGTATTGGACACAAATATATACTCTGAGTTGCAGATATATCAGGAATACAGCGGTGTCGGTCAGACCGCGACGTCACATGCGTTCACCACGTCAGATCAAACCAAAATGGCGGCTTTGTGCAAACGCTCGCACGCTAACCAATAAGAGCACAGATCGAGACGAACGATAAGCCAATCAGCAGTATGTCCGAATGTCGACATTCGCGGATATACTTGCTATATAGCTTGTTATTAGTATACGTTCATAATAACAGGGAAAGAGTGTTACATAGATAGTGGGTAGTGTTCTTTGGTGTCGGTTCGCTTACCGGTGTGGAGCGCAGCGCTGAGGGCACCTGCAAGCGCGGACGTTGGAATGCCGACATAGAACGAGGGGAGAATGATACATCTGCGACAACAGTATGTCGCGGGTGGGGAGTCAGCCGTTTCAAGGGAAAGTGCGCCGGCATCCTCCCTGAAACTTGATCACAACGCTCCCATCCTCGGCTCGAGCCAAAATGCCAACATCGATACAATTAAAAAATCCATTCAGTCTCTTGGTCTATTAAAATCGGCAGCGGAAATATGGCTTCAACAAAGAATTGCGATCTACTAATATTTAGCCTATTTTTGCTCAGTCCAACAGCCACACCACCACTCTCTACTTCCTCATATGTGGCGCTCTCTCTAAGCCCCGTAAGCAGACTTGCAGCGTTCCTCAAGATTCTGTGCTCAGTCCGACGCTGTTCAGCATCTACATGCGGGACCTCCCACTCCCTCTGGCACCTGCGAAAGTGGTATCATACGCGAATGATGTCACTTAATTCCGCCAGCACCATCAAATTTATCAGGCTGCGCTGATCCTCTCGGGGTCCATGCCTAATTTCGTGAACTTCTTCACTCAGCAAAGGTTCACGATCTCGGCAGCCAAGTCGTCCGTCACTGTTTTCACACTGGACCCGAAAGAGCACAATCTTCACCCGGCCATTATTGTCAACGGTGCCTTTTTACCGCTGCTCCGTAAGCCCAAGCTTCTTGGCGTTTAGATCCGCTCTTCAAGCTCACGGACCATGCGAGGGAGGTCGCAAGCAAAGTGAGCCGATGCACCAAGGT